GGCCTGAACTGATCCTCAGCTTCTCCCTAGCTGCAGCAGACAAAAACCTCTCCTGAAAAGCATTCACAAATGCCTCCCAAGTACCACCAACACGAGTCTTCTCGTATTTCCACCATTGACCCGCATCTCCCTTCAGCTGGAAGGATGCCAAGGTCACCTTCAGTGCTCCATCCTCGATGGCAAGCATCTCAAACGTCTTACTCATTTGTTCTAACCACTCATCAGCCTTTAGTGGCTCCTTCGGATCCCCGACAAACTCATCCGGATTAGACCGGAAGAACTCCCTCTTCAAGAAAGAAGGCCCAGCCTCAGCTGCCTATTCCCCGCTCTGAGAATACCCAAAGCCCCTGCTATCTCTCTGGCCAAAGCACCCATGGCCTGTGACCCACTGGCTCGGCCACATTGGCCTGACCAACTCCCTCCTGCACAGCCGGAACCTCCTCCGTAACGGTACTTCCTGCCTCGCAGGTCTACCCGCCTAGCACCTCTTCCTCGTCCTGACATCCTAATAAAGGTAACACAGAACATTAGCACATTCAAAAATGTGCCAAAACTAAACACTCACGTCCTAATGCATGGACAACTGTAATTCACTCCACGTAAGCACATAAACACATAAGCACTTACGAATTTCATTTCCGGATAATGATAGTCCCGAGGCATTACTAGAGTTCCAGTTAGAAACAGCATTGATCAAGTGCTTTCCAACAAGACTCACAGAAATCCAAGGATCCAATCAACATCTTAGAAATTAAATCCCATACCCAGATAAACACATAAGCATGTTATCAATTAAACACATTACATGTGATACTACATCAAAGTCTCTATCAAGCGAGACAAACCCATTGTGATCCTAATCACTTCCCACGTACCCAAAGTATTCGAACCCGGTACGCTCTGATACCAAGTTGTAACGCCCTCAAATTAATAGCATTAAACCCATTAAATAAGACAAGCATTGAGATTCAAAAGTTCCACATTCATCCATTATATCAGAATTCTATTACAAAAGTATTACCTGTTAACAACAAAAGCAAATCCCTAAGGGCTTACAGCTTTCCAAGTTAACACTTGGTTACAACAAAAGAGTACTAACTCATACACATTAAGCCCTTGGCCCGGATTTACATGTAATACATCAAAAAGTAAAACGACAAAAGTATGTCCGCCTCTATCCTCCCAAGCTAGGTCCTTGGAGGTGGTATGCTTCCTGTACCTGAAAATGATATTCCCATATAGGGTGAGCCACAGCCCAGTAGAAATATACTAAACCAACCATGAACAATGACTAAAATATTAGAAATTGATAGATGGTCAACACTGATACAATCACATAAATCACATATTTATGCCATACGACTTATGAGTCCAAGTTACCTTTCATTTCCCTTTTTCAACAGATAGGCGTATAAGCACTACCCACGTTCTCACCAGATATGTAAAACAACAATATCCACAGATAAGCATACAAGCTATATCCACATTTTACAACAGATATGTTATAACAACAATATCCACAGATAAGCATATAAAGCTCTATCCACACTTCACAAAGATAAGCATATAAGCTCTATCTTCACGTTTCTAGACAAGCATATGAGCTGTATCTACGGAGTTCATCCCTATCTTCTCCCAACACTAAACCGGTTTAGAGGTACATCCCTATCTTCCCCTAAACCGCGGAGTACATCCCCATCTCCTCCTCTACACATAACGTATACAAACACATTGGTTCTATATACAATCACACAATACATACAGTTAATGTATTCTTTCAACCGTCAAGTTCCATGACACATTCCATTGATTAGTTTCAGTTTGCCTAATCATCATGCATTGTCTACAACAATCACGACTATCCTCCACCGATAGCCCAAAGCAGTTATTTCTAAACAGAAAATAAATGCACGATGGATATTCAATCAACATTTCATTCCCTCATTTCTCACAATTTAATTATCCCAATTAATCAAACAATGTAATTATTCAAAATTAGCATTTCAACCCTTAGGTTCCATTTTCATCAATGATTCAACATCTATTCCATTTTTCTATGCCAAACATGCATCTAGGTTTATTATGAATAAAACCCCAACTTTTGTAAAATTACACAAAAGTCCCAAACTTTCACGAAATTACCAACCAACCCCATCATCTCAAAATACCAAAATTTAAAGACAAAATCCATAGAGAGGAGTAGGATATCCCTACCTCGAAGTTTGAGCCAAAAGGAGATGAAGGCTCGAAGATCAACGTGCTCCAAATCCAAACTTTTTTAGATTAAAACAAAGCCCCCAACGCCCTCTATCTTTTTAACAAAGGCCTAGGCTAGATTCACACTCTAGGGAGATCAAATCTTAGAGAGAATATAAGTGTAGAGAGAGAGGGTCACGGATCTAGGTTTTATCAAAAGATAAAGTGAAAAAGTGATGTTTAAAGTCGCTACTGTCCGCTGATATAAAACACTCTCGCTCGAGCGAAGACTTGGTCGCTCGAGCGACCAGACACAGAAAACCCTCGCTCGAGCCAAGAACTCAAACCTTCAGGTCTTGCAACCAGAAGCACGCTCGAGCGACAGACCTCTCGCTCGAGCGAAAACAACCCAGACCGCTCGAGCCAAGAAAAGCTCGCTCGAGCTAGGAAACACGACTCTCAGGTCCAGAACCAGATGCAAGCGCTCGCTCGAGCGAAGCCACTCTGGCTTGACCCACCAGACACAAACTCAACTCTCGCTCGAGCGACCAACTCCTCGCTCGAGCGAAGGTCCAAATCTGGGCAGCAACACTAGGCTCCCAAACACAACAACCTGAACAAAACCTGCCCAACACATCCTATAACTCAAATACGAAATAACAAGGATGCAAACAAGAATATAACAACTACCAACATCCACGGACACATGTCCGGATCGCTGTACAACAAGGGTAAACCCGGGATCGCTAATATATAAGCACATAACAGTACATCTAAGTCTCTATCAAGCGAGGCGAACCCATTGTGATACTAATCACTTCCCACGTACCCAAAGTATTCGAACCCGGTACGCTCTGATACCAATTGTAACGCCCTCAAAATAAACCCATAATATATATAACATTGACATGCATTAATAAAAGAAACCAACCATTATACCATTCATCAGAGTATTCTTATTGAAAAGCATTACATGTAACATCAAAAGTAAATGCCCTACGGGCTTACATCTTTCAAGCCAACACTTGGACACAAAATATGAGTACTAACTCAACTACAAATTAAGCCTTGGCTTGAGTGTTTACATGTAATATCAAATAAAATAAATGACAACTAAACTAAATAGAGTCTTCAACTCCAATTCCTTCCAAGCTAAGTCCTTGGAGGTAGCTTATCACCTGAACCTGAAAATGATGTTCCCGTATAGGGTGAGCCACAGCCCAGTAGAAATATACTAAACCAAATATAAGCATTGAATAAAGCAATAGCATTCAATAGATGGTTAACCAAGATAATCAATTATATCATTATACAGTCTCATGACACTAATGTCTATGACACGTTTCACTTTCCATTATTATCAATATGGCTCAGAACCTGGCCAAACTTAAACACAGTGAACTATATATCATATTCACATTACTTCAATGTCAACAAAACAAATGAGACTCAGGCTCATATCAAAACACTTCATACTTCCTGTTTGATACACATTTTAGTGCTGTATCAATAACATGTAAAAACAGTTCAATATCAATAAGCACACATAATAGTGGTGCTAATGGAGTCCATCCCCTATCTCCTCCCAAACAAAATCCGGTTTAGAGGTCCATCCCCTATCTTCCCTAAACCGTGGAGTACATCCCCTATCTCCTCCCAAACAAAATACATATACAATGTATTAAACACTTGTCATATACAACACACAATCAATACATGTATTTTCTGTATTAATTCAACAGTCTAAATCAATGACTTAACCAATGTGATTAGTTTCAGTTTTTAATCCACATGCAATGTCTACAACAATCACGACTATCCTCCACCGATAGCCCAAAACAGTTATTTCTAAACAGGAAATAAATGTATCAACTAACATATTCCAACATTTTCATAGGTGAGTGATTAAACTAACCAACTACACCATTTAATCAATAAATTCATAAATTCCATGAATTCAATAAATTCCCCAATTTTCCCTAAAT